GGAGACTCGCTTGAGCCCAGGAGTTGGAGGTTGCTGTGAGCTGTAATGCCATGGCACTCTACCCAGGGGGATAGCTTGAGGCTCTGTCTCAAAAAACAACAACAACAAAAAAAAGAGATAAACTTTTAAATCAGCAGACTGTGTAATGCAGATTGTACTTCTCAAGGTGGGTGGGCCTCAATCATTCAGTTGAAGACCCAAATAGTACAGAAAGCCTGACCCTTTCTCACAGAAGGGGGAGCTTTTCCTACATGACTGCCTGAGCTGCAATGTCAGTCTTTTCCTGCTTTCAGACTCAACTGTCAGCAGCTCTTCTTGGGTCTCAGGCCTGCCAGCTTTTATACTGTAACTACATTTCTATCAGTTCTCCTGGGTCCCCAGAGTTTACTGACTGGAAATCTTGGGACTGCTCAGCCTCTATAACTGCATAAGCCAATTTCTTCTAATATATTAATATATTATAGCTAGCTAACTAGATAGATAGATTAATACACGTATCTCCTCTTGGTTCTGTTTCTCTGAACCAGAGATGAGGATACAATCCTCAGATGGACTATGGGAGTGAAAGTCGATCAGGGTCACTTTTTAGTTCCCAGACGCAAGTATTCTTCCTAGTGGGGATAGTGCACCATATAACTGTCATCAGTTTAAGAAGCCTACTTTATCCTAAAGGTTGTCACTTCAAAGGATTGAGTGACAAGCTAGCATTACCTAGACCCCACCTGAACCAGCCATGAACAAAGTGTGAGTTTTTTCTTTCTCTGTCTGCTGGTCTTTAGGTAAGCCCACCCTGTATGATGTTGTAGGTATGAGTTGCCGTAATGTCAGACAGTCAATGGTAGTTGACAAGCAGCCTAGCAACATGTTTGTGAATCTTACTTGTGTGCTCTGGAACTGCTAGAGCTCAGTCTTAGTTGTATCTGATTTGTATCTCACCTGACTTAGTAAGACTGCCAGAACCCCATTCATGATGGGCAGTTCTAGCTGCACAGTCTGAGGCCCCATAGATCAATGCACCAACTTTAGCATGACCCAGTAGATATTTTGAATGTGCATAGTTCTCTGATAGAGGTGGCAAATTATTGGGATAGCTCTGAGTACTCCCAGGCCAGCTAAAAACTGTTAGTGGGTAAACTGACAAGCACAGTTAGATGAAGGCATGGTAACCGGGGCCGTCTTACCAGGTAAGCAATCAAGACCAACAGAAGTCCAAGAGTTAGAAAAATCCAAAATGAGTAATAGAGGAGAAAGGAGAAGTATATACTCTGTATGATTCCATTATATAAAATTTAAGAAAATGCAAACTAATCCATAGTAACAGAAAGCAGATCGGTTGCTACCTGGAGATAGGCAGGGGTTGAAGTGAGGAGGCAGGAGGGGGAGGAAGCTCACAGAGATAGCAGGCAACATTCGAGGGTGATGAATGTGTTTAGTACCTTGATAATGGTGATGATTCCATGAGTGTATACATATGTCAAAACTTGTCAAATTCTACACTTTAAATATATGTGGTTTATTGTATGTCATTATATCCCATTAAAGCCATTTTTAAAAAATTTACCAAATTGTGCACTTTAAATACGTCTGGTTTATTCTATGTACATTTTTTTTTTTTTGAGACAGAGCCTCAAGCTGTTGCCCTGGGTAGAGTGCTGTGGCATCACAACTCACAACAACCTCCAACTCCTGGGCTCAAGCGATTCTCTTGCCTCAGCTTCCCAAGTAGCTGGGACTACAGGAGCCCACCACAATGCCCGGCTATTTTTTGGTCATAGTGTCATTGTTGTTTGGCAGGCCCAGGCTGGATTCGAACCTGCCAGCTCAGGTGTATGTGGCTGGCACCTTAGCCACTTGAGCTACAGGTGCTGAGCCTATTTTATGTAAATTATATGCTGAAAAATTGTAAAAAAATAAATTACAGACCTAGGACTGACCAATGGTAGCAACAGAAGCTATAATTCATCCCACTGACTTTCCTTGTAAGTTTCCCCAAGATTTATGACCATGGAATCCTAGAGAAGTTGTGCTTGAATGGAATGAACTGAATGTGAGAAGTGAATAGATCTGTCTGCTACATACAAATGCCTGAGTGGGAGAGATGCTGCTTTGGCACTCTACTCAAATCCTCTTTACTAGGCCAGTGTACCCCTCTGCAGCAGCTCTGGGTATTGGCTGCCAATGGCCTTATATAGCTAATTATTCTTGGCTGGTGGGAGCCACCTCCCTGGAGAATTTATGTGCTCCCTCACATTCAGGCAACTCACAGCCTTTCACAGACAGAGAGGTGTAAAGGTGGGCCTCTTGCCGCAAGGGAGAACAGTGGGCTCTGGTTAGCATCTGCTCGATAAATTAGGCCAAAGGTAGACTCTGCCTGAGTCCACATCCTTGGTTGGCTCTGTCCCCTTCCCTGTTCTGCTGTGCTCAGCCCCTCACAGTTATTTCCTGAGAAGCCCTCCGATCAATCACATGCTCCTAAATTCCTGTGTCAGGCTTTGGTTCTAGGCAACCTAACCTAAGAGAGTGCTGGTACATATCTGGGCTGGGGTTCTTGGGGTGCTGGCTCCAAGAAGCTACTGTCTGCCTAGCCCCGCTGGTTTATATGTCCTAATTGTTACTTTAGCTCATGTCCTTCCTGCTTAGATGTTGTCTCTTTTTTTTGAGACAGAGCCTCAAGCTGTTCCCCTGGGTAGAGTGCCATGGCATCACAGCTCACAGCAACCTTCAACTCATGGGCTTAAGCAAGTCTCCTGTCTCAGCCTCCCAAGTAGCTGGGACCACAGGTGCCCGCCACAATGCCCAGCTATTTTTTGGTTGCAGTCATCACTGTTGTTTTTGGCAGGCCCGGGCTGGACTCGAACCCACCACCTTTAGGTGTATGTGGCTGGTGCCTTAGCCACTTGAGCCACAGGCGCCGAGCCTATCCTTAATATATATTTATAACTAGGTTCTTTCCTTTTCCCTCCCACCAGGGTGATATTGACCAACCATTCCCCATCCTTATTGCTCAACTTCGTCACCATTAAGTTGTAATGAATCACCTTGTGAACTTCTGTGAATCAACCCATGATCTGAGCTCATTGTGACTTGGCTTTATTATTCCATGAATATCTAGTAAATGCTTTCTGAGGATCTGAAGCAAATATTCAAATATTGTACTGAAAAGAAAACTATTAAAATTTTGAGAATAAACAATTCTGTTAGCCAAATTTCAAAAGTAAGTTAAAAGCTTAACTTTGCTTACCTTTCCTGGGTAACCCAATTGATAACTAAGTCTAATCGTTTTTCAGATAATCCACATTTGATTCCTTCCAGGGTTAGATCTGCAGCAATAGGGTGTCTAAAAGCATGACTTGTCACAAAGAGGGCCTCAAAAAATATGAGTAATGGCAGAGGCTTTCCTTTTAATTTTCCAACAGCTACAGAAAAAAAGAAGAAATTCTTTTTTAGTTAAATACTATAATCATTTCTTATTGTTGTTGTTGTTGTATTGAGACAGACTCTCACTCTGTGGCCCTGGGTCAAGTGCGGCAGTGTCACAGCTCACGGCAACCTCAAACACCTGGATTCAAGTGATCCTCCCTCCTGCCTCAGCCTCCCAAGGAGCTGGCACTACAGGCACCTGCCACAACCCCCAGTTAGTTTTTCTATTTTTTAGTAGACATGGGGGTCTCACTTTGCTCAGGCTGGTCTTGAACTTGAGCTTAACCAATTCACCTGTCTCATTCTCCCAAAGTGCTGGGATTATAGGCGTGAGCCACATCTTCTGACCTAATCATTTTTTCTTTTTCTTTTGAGACAGAGTCTCACTATGTCACCCTGGGTAGAGTGCTGTGGCATCACAGCTCATAGCAACCTCCAACTCTTGGGCTTAAGCAAGTCTCTTGCCTCAGCCTTCCCAGTAGCTGGAACTACAGGCTCCCACCAAAACACCTGGCTATTTTTTGGTTGTAGTTGTCATTGTTTGTTTGTTTTTGTTGTGTTTTGTTTTTTGAGACAGAGTATCAAGTTGTTGCCCTGGGTAGAGTGCTGTAGCATCACAGCTCACAACAACCTCAAACTCTTGGGCGTAAGTGATTCTCTTGCCTCAACCTCCCAAATAGCTGGGACTACAGGTGCCCACCACAACACCCAGCTATTTTTTGTTGTACTTGCTATTGTTTAGCAGGCCCAGGCCAGGTTCGAACCCACCCCCTCGGTGTATGTGGCGAGCGCCCTGCTGACTGAGCTACAGGTGCCACCTGTAGTTGTCATTGTTGTTTAGCAGGCCCAGGCTGGATTTGAACCCACCAGCTCCAGTGTATGTGGCTGGCGCCCTAGCTGCTGAGCTCTAGGCGCTGAGCCTAATCATTTTTTCTTACTTCATATTTAGGGTGACCAGATTTTAACATTGGTAAGGCAGGACAACATGGCCAGGGGGCGAGGGGCAGGGGATGGGGCAGGGCAGGGCCTGACAATAATGCAAACTTTGATAAGCAGTTCTTGATAATCACTTCTCAGCAATTATTTGTTATTATTACAGTTTAACATTATAAAATTAACAAAAATAATATAAAACTCATATTCTGGCGAAATAGCCACATGGCAGCCGAAAACCATATATTCCCTTCTTGTTCTTCCACTCGTTCATGCATTCTTTCCAAAAATCGGGACTTTGTTAAAACGCCATGGGACGCAGGACAAATTGTTGAAAAGTGGGACTGTCCCGTCCAAAGCAGGATGTCTGGTCACCCTATTCATATTACTATTTTCATCTCTTTGATTTTCTAAAACTTTAACAATCTAAAATTACACATATCTAACTTTTAACTCATGCTTATATACTGAATTTTATATTTTGGATAATGACTGAATATCACATGCCACACATACTATATGAAGATGGAGGCAGAGACTGGAGTGATTTGTCTACAAACCAAGGAGTGCCCAAAGTTGCCGGCAGTCCCCAGAAGCTAGGAAAGAGGTCTGGAATGGAGTCTCCTTTAGAGCCTCCAAAAGGAATGAACCCTATTGATCCCTTGATTTCAGACTTCTGGACTCCAGAACTGTGAGAGAATAAATTTCTTTAAAACCACAAGATTCTCCTATTTATGGTGCAGATTTGCCATGACCAAAGAAAAGCTATGACACGAACAGAGAAAACAAAAGTTGCAATGGCAGATACACAGAGATAAAATTCCTAATCCAAATTATACTGCTCTGTGACCAAACAAAGGAGACAAACATAAAACTGGACTTTTAGAGGAACATACTTAGTGTAACATCCTCTAACTTCAAAAATAATTCAATGAGAATGACAAGTGAGGCTCAAGTTAGCATGACTACAATTAATCTTATTTTATTTTTATTTTATTATTATTATTCTTTTGTTTTCCAGTTTTTGGCCAGGGCTGGGTTTGAACCCGCCACATCTGGCATATGGGGCTGGTGCCCTACTCCTTTGAGCCATAGGCACCGCTCCTAATTTTTTATTTAAATTGTATATATACCCAATGTTTGAACTTATAGGAAAGAAGACAGTCAATTTGATTTCTTAATCCATTCGATTATCTTATGAGCAGAAAATAAATTTATCACCATATCTTATTTCCTAGGTTTTTATTTAACTCCCTTCGTCAAAGTCCAGTGAGAACATTTTAATTATGAGAATAGCTAGACATAGATGTCTTAAAGTTTAGAGAATAAAGAGACCAGTGACTGACATTTGTCTGCAAAATGTAAAGGTGAAGAACAAGAGTAAGGAGAGTAAAAGTAGGAGAAGATTCTACTTCCACAAGACCGCACGTTGCTCAAGGGTAAAGGAGACTCCACGGAAGGTAGACAGGCTGGCGTTGCCTTAAAAACGGCCAACTAGAGCCAGCACCGGACATCTGCTACACCTAGGAAGCACCAAGGCAGGACTGCCGCCAAGGCCCAAGTGAGTAAGACCTTTCCTTCCCTAAAGCTGCCTACTGATTAAACGAGGGGAGCGGAAGAGTAAAGCAGAAGTAAACGTGTCTCCCGAGCTCCAGCAGCTTCTACAGCCAGATTCAAATCAGGAAAATGGGGAGAATTTTTAAATTAAACAAAAGATTATAGTTTCTATTTAGTTTAGGATTTTTCATACCTATAAAAACTGTTAACATCTAGAACTGACTGAAAAAAAAGCTATGTGATGTTACCAAGATATTGTCCAATAAACAAGACAGGAGAGGTAACAGGGTCCTTTTAAAGGGTAATGGTGAGGGCGGTGCCTATGGCTCAAATGAACAGGGCACTGGCCCCATATATCAGAGGTGGCAGGTTCAAACCTGGCCCCGACCAAAAAAAAAAAGGGGAGGGGGCAATGGTGAGAAAGAATGAGGCTATTGCTTGCTTCACTCTATCACATCTAGCTTGTTTGATGATTCAGTTTTATAGATACCAAAGCTTGAACCAAGTATGAAATAAAAAATTAATTCTATAAAAATTGATTCTGATCGAGAGTCTACTAATGAGATGTATGGATTTTTACATAGGGAATATGTAATATCTATTTTTGATTGTTTATAGAATTTTTCACCTTAGTTCTCAATTCTTAGATATGATATATTCTAAATAAAATTAATTCTGAATAAGTGGTATGTTGCTGAAACCTCTAAAGCTTGTGTAGTGCTTTGTGATGATCAATGCTCTCATCCAATGACCCTATAAAATGCGTATCATTAACATTCCTATTTTTCAAATAATAAAACTGAGGTTTGAGGAGATAAAGTAGCTTGCCCAAAGAACACAATGTAAGAGCAGGGTAAAGACAAAATTAAAGCAGAGGTTTCAGGACACCTATCTAACATTTTATATCATTTTATCTCCTTCATGTTTGGAATAAATAAAAAATACACACACACACACATACACACATGATGGCAAAAGAGAAAAGGTTTTTTACACTTACTGCAGAGTAACATACAGTTGAAGGACAATTTGATTAGACTTTCAGGGAAAGATGGTAGAGAACACACTCATTTTGGGTTCATTAAAATTACTAGATGAAATTGACTAAAGGGATTTCACAAGTAGAAATTTAAAAGCAGGTAACATTTTGGAGGCTAGGACATAGAGAATGGTAACTGGAATAATGTATCCTTAAAAGTTTAATTCCTGGGTGGCACCTGCGGCTCAGTGAGTAGGGCGCCAGCCCCATACACTGAAGGTGGCGGGTTCAAACCTGCCCCTGGCCAAACTGCAACAAAAAATAGCTGGCGTTGTGGCGGGTGCCTGTAGTCCCAGCTACTTGGGAGGCTAAGGCAAGAGCATAGCCTAAGCCCAAGAGCTGGAGGTTGCTGTGAGCTATGACACCATGGTACTCTCCAAGGGCAACAAAGTGAGACTCTGTCTCAAAAAAAGAAAAAGTTTAATTCCTAAACTACTAACAAAGAAAACCTAGATGCAATCTAATTCCTACCAGAGACTGAGAAAGTCTCAGAAATTGCCAGCACAAGACCCTCAGGAATGAGATAAGGCTAAAACTAAGAAATATTAGTTAAAATGATGTTTCAAAAGCCATCCCTCAGCCAGTCGGATGACACCCTCTTCCAGTACTTAAGAAAGACTAAGACCTCGTCTTTAAAAAAGTAAAACTAAAGGTGTCTACATGAAGACAAAAGGCACAGTTTGGGGCAGGAGACCAAACTATTACCAGTTCTTTTCTGAGTTTCTAGAGAACTTTGTCCATATCACTAGACTCACACTACATGTAAGCTCTAGGATGAGTTTCTAGAGAACTTTGTCCATATCACTAGACTCACACTACATGTAAGCTCTAGGATGAGTTTCTAGAGAACTTTGTCCATATCACTAGACTCACACTACATGTAAGCTCTAGGATGGCAACAGTTTTCTGCTGTATCCCTAGCACCTAGAACAATGTCTGGCGTATATCAGACCAACCATCCCGCTGAATGAATGAATGAGTGATCTAGTTCCATCTGTACATCTGCCTCTTTTTCTCTCTTCCCCATCAGTCCTTTATCTACTGACAGGATTTGGTCTTACTGATCTTTGTCTCTCAGTACTTAGATCACAATAGTTTAATCTACAGTTAAAAAGCATACTCTATTTAAACAAATTGTCTGGAAATGTTACAGGATTGTGCTGCTTAAACTTATTTTCTTAGTAGCTCTGTTCCTACCAATAATATCATCTTTGAGCTGTAATATACCTTAAAAATTAGGTTTCATGTAGACCTTTAAACAAAAAGCAACTTGTCTAATACTATAACTATTTTAAGATGTAAGTAATTTTAATCTACCCTAATCTATCAAATTTGAGACAAAAGGACTTTAAAGATCTAACTAGGATTCTGGTAACAGGACAGTATAAGTCCTATGCACTACTGACCCTCTCTCCATCCTTGTCTCTCCTTAGATGAAACAAATTATATCCACATGGGAATGGTGTG